TCACTTGCAGAACGCAAGCTTCTGGAGGGCGTGTAGGTCTGAACTAGCGAGTTTATGTATATTGGTGCAGTGCCAGTGGTTGTCTTGTAGGCAATCATCAGTACCTTGAATTTGATGCGAGCGGCTATTGACAGCCAGTGCAAACTGATGAAGAGAGGTGTGACATGAGCTTTCATTTCTCTCGTTGAAGACCACTCTGGCTGCTGCTTTCTGGATCAGTTGCAGAGGCTTGATAGTACATGCTGGAAGGCCCGCCAAGAGAGCATTACAATAGTCCAGTCTGGAGAGAACAAGAGTTTGGAAAAGGAGTTGTGAGTTTGGAACAGTCTGCTCTGTTAGGAAGGGTCTAATCTTCCTAATGTTGTATAAGGCAAACCTGCAGGACCGAGCCATTGTAGCCATATGGTCTGTGAAGCTTAAAGGGATAGTTCACCCAAAAATTTAAATTCTTTCATTAATTACTCACCCTCATGTTGTTCCAAACCCGTAAGACCTCCGTTCATCTTCTGAACACAAATTAAGATACTTTTGATGAATTCAATTCTGAGAGCTCCCTGACCCTCCCATAGACGGCAATGTAATTACCACGATCAAGGTCCAGAAACGTAGCAAGGAGATCGGCAAAATAATCCATGTGACATCAGGGGTTCAACCGTAATTTTACGAAGCTACGAAAATACTTTTTGTACGCAAAGAAAACAAAAATAACGACTTTATTCAACAATTCGTCTCCTCCGTGTCACCCTGGTGCCATTTTGGAGAGTATACAAAAAATATTCTCGTAGCTTCGTAAAATTACGGTTGAGTTCCAGAGACCAATTGGAATAGAGAATAAAATAGTGGAGGACATAGGGACAGTACGCAGATTATTAGGATTACACTGCCTCCAACGTACAGTGTGTGATTTACGAGTGTTAGTACTAATAGTAGAGATTTGAAAGCACATATCGAGTACAACTGACTAGAACAAGTAAATGAGAATAAAGTTATACAAAAAGTAAAGAAAGGGGGGAAAAAAAGCAATACTCGGGTGCCTTGTCGGTGGCTTCACACGAGAGCTGCCATGGTGTACTGAGCAAATATATACTTCCCTGATTCCACGTAATTGAATTCAGCTGGCCACGCCTTACTACTTATAAAACCAAAACTGCAAAGCCACACGATACGCATGAGAACAAATGCGACTTCAGCACGTGTTTACCACGGTGAACACAGTAAACAAAACAATGTGTCCTAGAAATGACAACCGCGCTAAAATCTAATGAGAAAAGATACAAAACACTTACAGACTGCTGTCCTCTTCTGCTGCTCGACTGCTTCTACTAACAAGTACTTGCAAACAAGGTAAATAATAACTGGCTTTGGCCACGCCTTACTACTTATTAAACTGAAACTGCAAAGCCACGCGATACGCACGAGAACAAACGCGACTTCAGCACGTGTTTACCACGGTAAACACAGTAAACAAAACAATGTGTCCTATTAACGACAACCCGCTAAAATCTAATGAAAAAACATACAAAACACTTACAGACTGCTGTCCTCTTCTGCTGCTCGACTGCTTCTTGGCTTAGAAAGCCTGGAGAACGGTCATCGTATGAATCGCAGAGACTGCTTGGTCGGCTGCCATGTAAGCTTTGTCAGCGATGTGGCTTGTGGTGCGACACGGCTTAGATGGAAGTGATGGCGAGGATTTCCACCCACGTGTGGTTGGACAAAGGTGTGCGGCGACTGCCTCCTCAATGGGCGGCGGCTTACAGTAACCCAAGTGGTCGGCTCCATTGACAGAGGAAAGCATACGCAATCCCGCGGCTTGGGCTCAGGACGAATAGGGCGAGCGCCAAGACCACAAGATCCCCTTGTGTACTTCAGGGGAAAAGGGAGCGGGTCTCTGGGGGGATGCAACATGGCGGCCCGACTGCAGATACCGCATATCCAACCTGTTTTTGGCTGGTTGCTCGGGGTGCGACCAGTCAAGTCCCAAATCCTGGACAGCCTCAGAAAGGTTCCTTATCAGCTCCTCATTGACTGTGGCTGGAGGCTCGCATGCCTTTGATGCTTGCTTCATGAAGTTGAAAGATTCTGAGTTAATGACACTGGGCGCTGACCTATGTAGTAGATGGCTCCACCCCTAGCTTGAACGCTCAAGCGTCATTGGCCGGTAAGATTTACCAGCGCGATGCTGTCGAGTTGACGTGGTTTTTCCAGAAAGGTCGCATATCACCAATTCTTGAGAAGTGGGACAAAACAGGGTGCAATATTGAAAAAATAAAACTTTGTACTCAGACAAATGAAACTACATTTTTGTATATTTTATACATTTTGTACTAAGCTACTGACCTATGCTTTTATTCAACCTCCCAACTTTTCTCTTTTTATCAAAATTTGATTTTTACCATGCCATTACTTATTTTAATATCAAGCAATCAAGATGTTTTTAACATTTCAAAACACATTCTCATGTTAGCAGGCAGATTACATTTTCAAATGTGACCAACAATTCCTCAACAAATATAAAATATCATAATCAAATATGATCAAAATATTCATCTGACGGATGTGACATAGACCTGACCGAGTTGAAACATCTGACGGTAGTGACGGAAACCTGAATTTGTAGTCATTTTAACAATCAAATACATTGAATCAACTAATTACTATATTAAAACAAACACAACAAACAGTGAGTATGTTATTGTTTATAAAGCTTTTATTCAAGATTCACATTTAAGTATTTTGATATATCATTGGAACACAAATTATATATTTTCTTTCATCTCAGAACAGTATGTCTGCTGTGCATCTGCTATGGTAACAAGGTAACTTTTAAAAGCAGTTAAATGAAAAAATAAAACAATTAGTTGTTACCTCTATCCACTTAAATTCACTGATCTTAATATTCACATTTAAACATCTTAACAAATGATCCAGAAATTATCAGAACACATTTGATCAGAATGCAAACAAACTGTATGTATAGATATGTTTTATCCAGTGTTATGTGTTCTCTCAGCTTTAAGTTCCCTGAATCTTATTTTCCCTCAGCCCTAACTCTGCTAGAAGTGATGACTATCAATCCACAAAAGCAATATATGCTCTATATTAGTATTTATAGATTATTAGAACAGTCAAACACTATTTTATATTTAAAAATGACTTGAAAACCACAAAAATATGATGACTTCACATTGAATGTCAACTCCATCACTGGAAATCTGACTGTGGTGACTTCTGACAGTGTTGACAAATTTGGCATTTCTTTCACAAAACAATTTTTTTTTTTTCTGTTGATGCTAGATGCTAATAGAACCTGCTTCAGGAAAATAAAATGATCTAAACATTTCAAATAATTTTCTCAGAAATTGGAAGATGTTGTTGACATATCATGGGTGTGACACAGGAAATATTAACATTAGGATTTAAAATATATAAAACTATAAAACTTACCAGAGGCTGTCTGACATTGATGTGCTCTGCAGAGGTGGAATGTGGCAAGGGGGTCATTTATAGTAACAGCTGCCCCTGATATTCCCTGATTTTTTTTTTTTTTTTTAATGAACGTCTGACGGTGTTGACAAAAAGTGGGGACACAACTTTGAAACCTTATGAATCACACATGTGTCATTGAAAACAACCTTGCTTTGATATGAGATATTATTAAGTGTTGCTTTTGATAAAACAAGCTCTTTTTCACCATAAAA